GAAAATAGTTTACAGTGATTAGGTGATCGGTTCATAATTGTATATCATTTTGTACCCTTCTAGCTTATGATTTGGTTATGTTTTTGAGTTAAACTTGTGCTTTTAATCCTTTTTGTGTTTATCTTTCAGTTCATTGAGCTTTAGGTAATAATGATGGCTTTAGAGAGCATAATTCATGCAATTCAAGCATGTTAAGGCCTAATTTGGATGAATGGATGAAGAGCTTAAAAAACTATTGAAGATCGATCCAAGGGAAAGAGGTGATGGTGATGGTAGTGGAAGTGGTTGGAGGTGGAGGTGATGGTAGTGGTGGTGGTGGTGATGGAGGTGGAGGTGGAGGTGATGGTGGTGGTGGAAGAGGTGATGGTAGGGGTGGAGGTGGTGGTGGTGGTAAACGATGTCATTTAAAAAAATTAATGATTGTATTATGCGAATTGAAAAAAATACATCAAAAGGCTCTTATCTGCTTCTTGTGAAAGCAACTTTCAAAATTAACATAGAGGTTGTTGTTAGGAGTGCATTGCTTTTAAAATATTCAGGATATTTTATTTTTACCAAATACCTTAAACTGCTTAAGGTGGCTTTTTCTTCTTTTCTTTTTCTAGAGGATTGACGGTACGAGGATAAATTTTATTAAATAAAAATCAAACTAGTACAATGAGGGAGTCATAAAACCAAAACCTCGCAAGAAAAGAGAACCTGAAATAAAAGGACAACAATTAATGAAAACAATAACAAGTAATTAAATGAAGAAATATCATGAACATAAGCATTGGCAGCACATGAAAGAACTTGTGACCACCAATAATAAGCATCATGAGTCGCACCAAAATTAGCCAATGCATCAGTCGCACAACCTCATGAAAAATACGGGAGACAAAAAAATTCATCTGATGAAGTTTCCATAAACAATTATTCCAAGCAACCAGCAAATACCAAGGAACATCCGAAGGAGATGAAAGATAATGAAGCACCAAATTAGTTGTGTTTGGTTTTTTTTTGTTTTTTTTTTTTTTCTTTCTAAGAAATTCTGGGATTACATTCATAATTCAGCCAAAAAAGCCACTAGCCACGAAGGGCTAATACAAACTAGCCACAAAAGGCCTTTACAATACATAGTGATCTAACATCAAACTTAAGACAATATGGGGCTCCTCCACTAACGATCACGCATGATCGAAGAAACTCTGGCATAGGCATCCCAACTAAGAGTGCAAACTCAAAACAACCAAAAATAGATAAAGCTCTTGAAAAAACCAAGTCATAACAATACAAATAAAACTATCACAAAGGAGAGGTGGAAAGCTTCCACAAAGGATAGGTGAAAAACTCTCACAGAAAGAGAGGTGAAACCTACACAGAAAACTCAAAAAGTCTCTGCGACTTATTCCAAACATAAAGAAACCGCAAAAAGGATGGTAGTAGAGATCCGACACCGAAACGCGGGTGGAGATTCGACGCCGAGACGAGGGTGGTATATTCCAAACAATGCTTTTATAGGTGTAGAAATTGTTTCCCATTTTACTTTCCTCATATGTGGGATTCGTGGTATACAATAACATGGTGTCTTCTGTGTAACACCTCAGGTTTTGCTAGCACGTTGAATCCCACATCGGTAAACTACTGGGTCTGTTTGTGCAAATATCTCGCGGGGGAATATTTCTAGATGAAACTTTTCACATTTGATCGTCCTTCTTTTAGATTCCTTGCAAGATAAAAGAAAACAATCGAAAAACTACTGTTGTGGTTTTAGCCAAGAGCCCTCCGATGCCTAAGTCAGTAAATAACACGGGGTATTTTTGAAAGATACAAAGTTTTCTCTACGGGAGAGATGAGTGGCGGCATGAGAGCCAAGAGAGGGGGTGAGGCGGCGGCAACTAGGGTGGCCGGCCTCAAGTGTGAGTGGGAGAGAGTGAGGGTCGGCTAGGGAGGGAGGGAGAGAGAGAGAGAGAGAGAGAGAGAGATCTAGGGCTTATGAAAAATTACCTTCTTTGTGTCTCCATTTAGCTTAAATAGCTTTCCCATTTTGTAACCTTCTCTTGTCCAATTAAGGAGGGAATAATTCTCTTTTATGGGAATTATTCCTTTCCTTAAGTAATTAGGTGGAGAGGATCAAAGGGATTTAGTGCAATTTAATCCCTTGTCTAAATAAAATAACTCCTCTATTAATTATATTAATAAACTAGATGAATTGGTTTAACTAATATAATTTAGGGTAACTTTATTTTCACGTGGTGTCGCCAGATTGGATGTCGAATACTTTTGCTCTCACAGGGTCGATCTAGGCTCATAAGTTATGGCATGGAGCCTCATTAGTGACTAGTCCTTTTGGGGTATAGCGCCGAGGTGGCATGCGTTTCCCCGAGTCGAGACAAATGTTATCAGAGCCAACCCTGTGGGTTGCATTATGTGATGAGATGAGATGAGGACACCAAGCATTTAGATGAGATGAGATGAGGACACCAAGCATTTAACTGGAAGAGAATGTAACACGACAAGTTGTACTAGCGTGTTGAGTCCCATATCGATAAAATACTCGATCGATTTGAGCTTCAACCTCATTAGTGACTAATCATTTTGAAATAAAATACCTAATGTGGCGTGCTCTGCTTGAGTCATGACATTTTGAGTGGTTGGTTTCTAACCATTCAAAGTCTAGCAGATGCCTAGAACCCTTTGCACTATAGGTGGCCTAATAAGAATCAAATCACATTTCTGTCAACAACTCAGCAATATGATTATTCTATAAATACTAAACTTTTTGTCTTCATCTAGTGTTTGGCACTTGAATATATGCTTTCCAAGTGAGGGAATGGTTTCAAAGTTGAGAAAAGGAGGGAATGGTGCCAGCCTTTTGCTGCAGGGGATGCCAAAAGTTGAATATCTTTTTGAGTTTACAGGCTCAAAAATGTAGGGCAGTATTATTATAGAGTGAGAGATAACTTTTCCAGTTTGCCTCACTGTTTCTGCGTTTGACATTACCTCCCTATGGGCTGAGATGAAACAAACAGCCATCATTGCAAATGAGCAAAGGTTTTATTCACAAGCATGGGCCACCATGATGCCAAAACAAGTGTCGCCCTTTTCTCTCTCGAACGGCCTGGTCTGGCCCTTCAAAATCTCTCCAAAATCCCATGCCTAATCATTTTATGTTTATTTACTGCATTTATTTTGAAAATAAAAAAGATTTGATTTGTGAAAGAAAGTGAGAAAAGAGGAACCCCTTTTTAAAAGTCTACAAAAGAGAGAATTCGAAATTTTTTGAAAGCGGTTTTGCATATCCCCCTCTCATCATTCCAAATTTAAACCAAGGGTGAAAAAAAGATGCATAATTGAAGTGAAAAAGATCATGATCTATCAATCAACAAATGAAAAAAGATTATCGACTTTCACATGGATCACCGTTTCATGTTATCTTAATCATAACAATTCCAGAGGAGTGATTGAAAGTACTTCAACTTTTTCCCAATCCATAAATTTAAAAATTGAAGCATTCTTTTGGTCGGTTTTCAAATGTAAAGACAACCCTTTTGGCGGGAGATTAGGGAAATCTTTTGCCATAATATTGTTTGACAAAAAGTGTACCCAAACCAACCAATGAGGGTTGGTTAGTTGGTAAGGTCCCTGCATTGTGTGTAGCCCCACTAGTGTTCGAGTCTTGCTGCCAGCAGTTCTCATTTGTGCGCGATCTATAATATCCTATGTAAATCCATACCGATGGCAACTGGCAGTTGGGTACCATGCGTAAATCCTTTCAACTTGAGGTTGTGGGTATGCCCTGGCTTTGGTAGTAAGAGTAGCCAATCTTCCCCTAAACTTTTTTTTTATGAAAGACAAGAAGAGACAAAAGAAAAGAAAAATAGTGTATTGGAGAATTACAACAATGCATGGCTCGTACTATATATGAATTTTTTGTACGTATTTGTGCAAAAACAAGATCTCACTAATACTCTTGATCACTGTGGTTATCGTTCAAAAAAGTAACTTTTAAAAATACGAAAATATTTACTAGGTAGTAAATTTTATGTTTCTGTTTGATGGCGATTTTGGGTACTTTTATCAATTTTCAGTGGCTTAAATTTGTAGAATCACATCGCTATCATGTATGCATATCCCCAGCTAAAGATGAAACTAATTGGATAATTATTATATACAAGCGATAGTCTAAAACTATAAGGAGAATGAGGCTTTCTTATAATTTTAATCTAAGTAATGCAGGGGTTCAAACTCAAAACCACCGATCTGTAAGTCAATGTTTTTTTTCACGCTGAGTTGTTGGCAATTGCCAGGGTACTTTTTGGTTTTTAGCATGTGATATGTGTAGCCCAGATTAGTTCAATGACGTCAGCACACATGCCCCATATATGTAATAAAATCTATTTATTAAAAAACCAAGAGAGTTGAAAGTAACATATATACCCACGGGAAAAACAAAAAGGTCACATATTTTTATGGTGTAATAATCTTGGTGAATTTTTATGGTGTAATCAATTTTAAACAAGAAAAAAAAAAAAAAAAGAAGGGAAGGAAGCATGGAATTTGCAATTAATTTTCGTGGTTGTACAAAAAAGACAATAATCGGAATTTGTGGGGCTACCTTGTCCCAGAAGTGCATGCATTAAGTGTTTTATCTCATTTCTTTTTTCTTACTGTTTGAGTACAAAGATGAAGACACTTACGTATGAAATGAACAAAAGTATTATATGCAGATTAATGATTATCTAATGGAGTGCAACGTATGGACGATCCCCTATGGATTTGTACAAATCTACGAGTAATTTATGTATATTCCGAGCTGGTGTATCACCCAATACACACATAATATGTAGAAATATTATTTAATATACATAGAATATAAAAATAAAATATTTCCACATATCGCATGGTAAACTACCAACTAATATACCCGGAAAATACAAAAATTTCTTGGCATCTATATATATCTCTCTTTAATTTAATAAAAATGAAAAGAACCAAAAAAGTTTGGAAACACAAGCACATGAAAGATATTTGATTCGTATAATAAGAGATTGCGGCGGCTAACTATACCCCAAATCTCGCCACCAATCACTCCTAGACATCATATAAAATATTCAGAAAAATATAAAATAAAATAAAATTGTTTGAAAGAATATTATGAAAATGGAGGGGTAGAGAATAATAAAGCAAGCAAGCAGACAAACCTCTCAGACCATTTGGTAGATTTTTCTTCTTTCTTCTTCTTCTTCTTCTTCTTCTTCTTCGTTTCAGATAAGATTGAAATCACATGGCACAAAAAAGAGAAGGTACGAGGAAAACTATTAAGCTGTTCATGGTTGGTGGGCTTATAATAAATATTCTATCTGAACCATCATAAATCGATCCAGAGATTCTGGTTTACACAGGATTTGCTTTCAGACTTTGATGACACATATGTATAATCAAACTAACAGCATTTTAATTACTGTTCGAACCACAAATTGACAAAAGAAAAAACCCAAGATGGTTCGTGTATGGAAGTGTATGAAAATATATGAAAAAAGAAAGAGAGAGCGCGAGAGAGAGAGAGAGGAGATCGGTCGGATTCGGGTCGGATCTTAGGGTTTTGGACCACGCCATGTCGAAATTGAGAAGCGGGTTCGGGTTCGTGAGCCTGGACGATAATGGATCGAACATGTTTGATAGAGGGTCTAGGTGGTGATGGGTTTGTTGTTGGTGGTGGTGGTGGTGATGTGGCGGTGGGTGGCTAGACATGTGGCCGAGTTGACTCGGTGGGTTACTCAGTAGAGCGGAGATTGACTCGGCCCGCGAGTCGTACTCGTCATCGCCGCCGCTGGAGGACTGCATACTCCCACTGCCAGAATCCATGAGAGAGAGAGAGAGAGAGAGACGTAAAGGGGGACAAAGATATGGAGGAGGTGAAAGATATTTGGTTACTTAAAATACAAAGCTCAATTAAGAAGAGGAGAGAGACAGAGAGCTGAAACTGTGAGGTAAGCTGATGAGAAAGTACAACTATGAGAAGCCATATATGAAAGCTAGCTCTGTGAGATCTGCAAAGCAAAGGAGTACAGTGCTTTGGTTTTGTTTGCTTCTTGTGCTTTATCTGGGAGCTGCAGAAGGGTATGCGTGAAGAAGAGAATAAACAGCCTACGGAAATGGATGGTTGCAGAAAGAGACTGTTTCAAAAATACATATGAAAGCTAGCTAGCTCTTCTGCCCCCTCTTCTTTTTTACTATTTTTGGGTTAAGATCAATTAGGGTTTCAAACAAAGGGTTGCTGCTGATAACAGAGATGATAAAAGGAGAGAGAAGGAGAGAGAGAGGGAAAGAGAAAAGAAGAAAAAGGGGTTGTTCTCTAGCCTTTTCTCTTCCCTAAAAGAGAAGCTACTTCTCTGCTTGAGGTTCCACTCAAAAGATCAGGGTGGGGTAGCCGTGAGTGTTTGAGAGAGAGAGAGAGAGAGAGAGAGAGAGAGAGAGGCAACTGGTCAAAGTAAGTGAGAGTTGTGGTTTTGATTCGCAGTGTGAAAAGAAGAAAAGAGATATGAGGTATAATAATAATTAATTAGTTAAAAAATTAATTAATTCAGTGAATGTCATATTTTAGTTTATTTGGAATATTATGAGGTGGGCAGGCAGGCAAGCAAGCAACCAAATCTGGGAAGGATGGTTGTTGAATGGTATGTGTAAAGGTTAGAGAACCCACCATCACCACCGTTACTTTTTAAAAGCCTTCCAAAAAAAAAAATCAAAACAAAAACCAAGTAAATTAATAAAAGCCCATATCATTTTCGCTAATTATTGTTCTACATGTCAAACCTTTTCTAATTTCTCCTCACAATTAGGCTCAGTGTTAGGTTTAATTATGCCAAAGTAAGTTAATTAACTACCTAATCTTTGTTTCTTTTCCTAAATTTAAACCATGGAAAATATTTTACCCTGCAGCTTTGACTATGTCAGCAACTTGACAAAAAAATATCAGTCCATCAGAAGAAGGAAAAAAAAAATCAAAATCAAAATCAAAATCTGGGTTATTATTGAAGAACCTCAGAGAATCTTTCAGTCTTCTTCTGCAGAAAACGTATAGATCTAGGTTCGCTGCAACCATCAAAACTAAACAAGAACCAACAAATATTAAATCCCACATTTATCATTTCCTTTTGCACATTAAATAATCATATTTAAGGACACTTAAATAAACACAACTTGGGTTTTAGATACATAAACGTCGTTATCGTTCTTCATGTTATACATTTTTTTTTTATACAAGTAATAATCTATTTTAAACTAATCTAAACTACTCGGAGGAGGATTCGAACTTGGGTGCAGAATGAAGAGCACATCCGTTTTAATCAACTTGGCTAAACTCAAATCTGCTACGTTATACTTTATAATTTTCGACATTTACATTGTTTCCATCATAAATTATTAATATTATTACTCACTATTAGCAAACAAAACCCCTACAGAACAAAACCCTAACCCTAAAATTTGGACAGTTGCAGGACTGTAATGTGCATGTCATCTAGCTAATTCATGAGCTCATCATGTGGATCCACGTGGCGTTTATTAACCTCAAATCAATTACCTAATTATGTCTTATTTAAGTTACTTGAACCTGTGAAACTGCTTTTGTTTTTAACTGTAAGTGGGGCCTATTAGCAAACAAAACCCTAACCCTAAAATTTGGACAGTTGCAGGACTGTAATGTGCATGTCATCTAGCTAATTCATGAGCTCATCATGTGGATCCACGTGGCGTTTATTAACCTCAAATCAATTACCTAATTATGTCTTATTTAAGTTACTTGAACCTGTGAAACTGCTTTTGTTTTTAACTGTAAGTGGGGCGCTATCTCCGCCAACTACGAAGATTAAGTAAGATCAAAATTTTGGGTTTGATGGGACCTCCATCATTTTCAATGAACCTGTACCTCACACAAGGAGACGCAAATGCCTCCAAGCATTGTGATTGATCTGGACCGTTGGATTTGATGGGATCTTCCGCTTCCAAAAGTTAGTGTACGCACTTGATAAAGGCGTATTAAGAATTCTACCCAGGTCCCATAACGTGGCGTATTTGAATGTATTCTTTTCTTTTTCTTCAAGTATTTAAATGCAGGGAGAAATTTAGCGGTGGAATCTCTACTTTCAATATGGCCTTAAAAGTTAGTCGTGTGCGTTGCACGTGATGGAACCTAACGGAAAATTGTGATATAATTGATAGTTAGTGAGACATTGGGGATGAATTAAAAGTTTATGGGGCTCAAAATTAAATTAAAAATTCAGAGGGCAAAGTAAAATTCAAAAGTCTTTAAATATAACCAAGGTCTTAAATATCGATAGTTTCGGAAATATCGGTGGTTCAAAAACACGGAAATATCGATTTTTAATATCGGGAAAATATCGATATCGATAAAAATTGAATAAAAACCACGGAAATTGTGATAAATACATGGAAATTTTTAATGAAACTTTAGAAGAAGTTTATTTAGTCAATCATCTATTATTTTGACACAAAAAATTGGAAGGAAATGCATTGCATAGTGGGTTTGAGTGATTTAAGTTGATTATATTGCGAGCTGACAAACTCTGTGACTTAGAAAATCTGGAGTAATTAATGAAAGAGAATTAAACACCCCCTAGTAATTTATTTATCAATTTTTAGTACAATATTTTACATGGTAAGATACATGAGTAACCTTATTTCACATTATTCACTGGACATGGTACACGTTCTTATATTTATTATTTATCAAAAATTAAAAATAATTAAAGATGTAAACCAACTTGATTTTTCATGAAAATTAGGCACTTTACCATGCTTAATGTTGGCACTAAAACTGAACAAATAGAGATGAGTGCAACTTACAAGTGATGTGGACGATCCAGAGATCGATTGAGCGCTTTGATGCAGATTCTTCCTGTCCTGGAATGCCGATTCTGAACCAAAGAAAGTTGAGGCCCGTGAGGTCTATGGAACCGGTGTGGAGCTAGCCTAAGACCCTCCGATGCCGAAGTAAGTTTATTTCTAAGAGCTTTTCCTACTAACAATGTATTTAGCATAAAAGTCAAGCTGAAAAGTCTTACCCCTTGTATTGTAGTGAAGGGGCCTATTTATAGAGGGCATTTGGTATTCTCCCTTTTTTTCCCTTTTTTTTCTTCTTCTTTTTCCTTTTTTTTTTCCTCTGCATCGATATTTTCGATATTTTCGATATTTTAGCGATATTGCACTGATATTTTGACAAAATATTGCTGAAGTGTGAGCGAAATTATCGACATCGATATTTTCTGATATTATCGTCGATATTGTCGATATTTATACGATATGTACATGGATATGTTCCGAAATATCCGTGATTCGAAATATTCGAAATATCCTCGATATTTCGTCGATATTATCGATATTTCATACTATGGATATAACTATGTCATATCATATCGTATTAGTTATTACGTGAGAGTATCCAAACATATTAACTCCTATGATTTGAAAAATATGGAGAAACACTTGTGTTGATAAAATGTTGTAAAATTAAGAGTTAAAAATGAGAAGAGATAAATTGGAGGATTGGAAATAGTGCGTATAGAAGACTACATATATACATGATTAGGGTATACTTGTGGTCAGCCATGATTTACAACTATCCATTATTGAGTGGATGAATAATTTAGTTGAAAGATGACATGTGTTCAAATTTGATGATAAATTTTTAATTCATGTAATCTTTTAACTGGGTTATTTCCCTACTTAGAATGTATTTATCACATGATGAAAACACTATCACATAAGTTTTTCTTCGTGGACCATGTATAATTTTACCATCCAAAATTTATTTTATTTTGTTCTATGTTTTATTGCATGTATAATCCAAAAGACATTATTGTCTTCGTGATTGATTGTGACGAATATGTCGGTGAGTTTAACATGATTTTTTGTTGTTGACAATGACGATATTAGTTTGAACTATTTTAACGTACGAGGAGGGAGTTCAAACTCGGGTATAAGAGGGCGGGGCACACTATCTTTGACCAATTAACCTAACCCACATGTACTAAACTTGTATTTATAATAGAGTGAAGCAAATAAAATTAACACTACCCAAAAATATTCTCCAAATCAAAATTTCTTCAACACCAATGAGTAGAATATTTTCTTTTTGCCTTTTTTTAAAATAAAATTTCTGGTGTGGTTTCCTCTCTGGTGTTATTGTATGCCTGCCAGCCATCCAAAAGATATACGAATAGAAAGTTCACTTAGCTTTATATAATTTCTAACCAAAAAAAAAAAGGAACTGAAAAGAAAGAAGAGAATACAACAAAGTATGATATTTTATAAAGAAAATTTGGTCAGTAGTAATACAATCACCACATTTTATTATTGACTTTACAGAGATTTCCTATTTGGACACAACAAAGTTCCAAGCCCACCCGACAAAATGCTTCTGGACAATTTTACTCTCCAAAAACTCACATACCCAATGAAGTCCCCACCCCTCTCTCTCTCTCTCTCTCTCTCTAAACAAGTTTTATTACCATGCTTAACAGCTCATTGGGAAGTTTAATTCAA